AGCTACCAGGTGTACATGGACGGAGAATGCACTCTCATGAGAAGAAGCCTCTCTGTCAAAGCTTCATATTTACATGGAGAGATCTTATCCTTACTGATGGTTAATTACCACACTGACTCTGCTGGGGAAGCAGAGAAAATCCACACACACTCCATGACAGTGTCTGAAACTTTACCTCTGTGCTCTGCATTGAGAAGCCCGCTTTTTATCATGCATGAAACATGCATGATATATTTGCCGTTTTACCTCGTCTCTCTGCTAACACACGTTTGCATCACTCACATGCGCCGAGCACAACTGTATGGTTACATATTTGAAGATACAGTGAGGAATCGGAAAAGGAGGGAGCGCAGGATAAAAGGAGAAGCAGAGATTGCAATGAAAATGCAATCATTTGCCGTCAGACAGATATAATTCCCCTCGGAGGGAGTGCGATGCGGCGGCTCAAAGACAACCTCCGTCCAGCTCTCCATATGGATTTGATTGACCACAGTCACTCATCTAGGGATTCCACTGAAATACTGTGGGTGAATTACAACGTGACTACCTTTGATGTCTTCTTATTGAAGCCCTCTGTCCACTCCATAGCTTAAAGAATTAGAAAATGTGATGGGGAGACATATTGTAGGAGCGGTTGAACAAGGCAACAAGATATGAGAAGCAATTTCCCTCAGGAAAATTAGTCGGCCAAAGAGGGACGGCTTCTGCAGTGGCGACACTGTGTCTTAGTCACAGGGAGGGTAACAGGTGGAGTCTATCAAGACCTGCATTGGGATTTATTTGATGGGGAGGCCGGACCATGAATGTCTTTGGAGGCAAAATCCGTTGTTCTGACGAACGTGACAAACCATCCAAAAACATTATTCTCTGGTCAATTTTTACATATATGGAGCCTCTACACAAATCAAACATCAGAAGTAGGTTATGATAGTGTGACCTTCAACTAAAGAGTAAACCTAAAAACACAATAACAGAAACAACAAAAACTTGAATGGCTGAAATGTCACATACCTCTCCCACGCAGTGCAACAATGGGGGGGCACCCTTATCAGGGTAAAGTGCACCCCTACGTCCCCCAAGAGTGGACGTAGGGGCGCACTTTACCAAATGTCCAAAACTGACAAAACAAGCCTATACATGCCAGGTAATAACTTTAATCTTGTGTAACTAAAATAAAATTTGATTAAATTAAAATGCACATTGGATTCTGTGACGTATAATACTGCTGTATAGTCGGCACTGCCACATGAGCATCACATTGACAAAAGAGGAAGAGAAGTAGAAGCAGAGAGGAAAAGTGTGAAACTGACCCACACAGCATGAAAGAAGAAAGAAGAATACTCCCATATGAGAAGTTAAGGAGTGAAAATGTGTCTTGTAGAGGCTTGAAGAGTTTCTGCGTGAGGAGCGTGTGAGAATGTATTTTGGACAGTCGGTTACACCTCACTGTTTGTTGAACCCAAGCGGAGCTGCACACTGTGGGGTCCTTTCTTTCATAGCGAAGAGGCACAGGCTCACAAACAGATATAAACAACATTTTGCTGCTGCAGTGATCCTGTATTTTTTTCTTGTACAAAAAGAGAGCAGCGCAACTTGTAGTTTATGTGTCGAAACATTCACTTGGTTTCTTTCTAGCTGCTGCCTGGTGCGTGTTTTTATTTGAGACTTGGCGTGAAATGTTTGTTAATATTAAAAGAGCTGATGTTCACTCTTGTTCTGTCCACCCACTCTCTGTGCTGTCTGTGCTTTCCAGGTGGGAGATGCAGGAAGATGCAGAGCTGGATGATGGAGAGAAAGCGATGGTGGAAGAACTTAAGAAAGCCTATTTTGTTTGCTGCTGCAGTGCGGGACCAGAGGACCCTCCTGATGCTGATGACACACAAGCAGTGAAGATCCACAGGGAAACATCTGATAAAAGTGCTGCCCAATAAAAGTCCATGCAAATGGAACTATTTTACCACGTTGCAAAATCTTGCTCATAACATATACCTGCAGCTCCTGTGGTTGTAGAATGTATGAGTGAAAGAGGGTTTGTGCATTTACTGCATGCAGTGAGATTGCACTATATGTGCATGAAAACGTGAGTGAACGAGAAGGTGAAACAACAAAAAGAGCGAGGGAGACAGATACACATGCATCACACAAACTCCCCGTGCTTTTCTGTGCTGCATCAAATGCATTTCATCTTTTTTTGAGCGCATCTCCAGAAATCAGTTCTGGGAAATGGAGAACCCGGATTTGTTTGCCTGGGACGAGATGTGACTCTGTGATCATTGTAGGTAGTTGAATTTTTTTGTGAGTGTAAAGACATTGGTGTCAGCGTACGTTCTCCTGGTTCCTGAAAGAAAACATCAAAAATTACGAATGGGAAGCAGAAAGATTTTTTGATTGTGCTGTGTCCCAAAAAATCTGCCCCACGCTGTCATATCAGTCAGTTTTTTGTGCAAAGCCGAGAAAACATTTATTTCATGTGTAACACTATTGCTCTGTATATTTTTCCAACTGTGTCTGTATTTTGTTATTTATGAGATGGAGAGAGAGAGAGAGGGAGAGAGGGGCGTAGAATTAAACATTAAACAAAAGTAACATCACATTCCTACTTCACCGCCAAATGTGCTCCTTCTATCGTGTGATCAATTTGTGTGATCTCTGAGCAGTTAATCATTCATTTTGATTCATCACCATGATGTTACATTCCTGGATACACACATCACATGTCCTTCCCTGTTATATTTGTTGTTCAAATAAGAATTAAATAACTCAAATCATGCTCCTTCAATAGGATGTCATTTTAGCTCACAAAGTGCTACTGCTGTGCAATTCCTGAAAGATAAGGAAAACACCTTCTTCTCCAGAGAGAGATGTTCCTTCCTTGACTAGATTTTTAATGCAATTGTAGAGAGATTGTAATCACCAAACCACTTAGAGAATATGACTCAGCTGAGTTCAGCTTTTGCCTCTGAATAAAGGCACAATAGCAACAACATTAATCTTTTCTAAATTAACTTGATTTAACACAATAAAACAATTTTATTTTGGTGTTGCGGGTAAAAAAAAAAGTCAAATTACTGTTGTAAGATTAGTTTTCTCTCATCTCTTCTCCTTTTCCTCTCCCTCCCCCTCAGAGGAAACACCTGAAGGGTTATCCATTTGTATTTCCATTGTAGACAGGTGATAGGCTCAGGAGACATCTGTCAGTAAAGCTGACGGTATAATTCACAACAAATCATTACAAAGAACGATTCATCACAAAGCATCAACTGAATTTTTCTATTGTAGGGAATTCATTTTAGGGATTATCAAACCTACATAAACACCTTTAGAAACCCAGAGCTCAGCGTGACATATTTATACAGGATCAACGGTGACAGCATTTTGACTTCTCTCTGATTCCTTTTCAACCGAGTCCCCTCAGTGCATTTGTGTATTGTCCACAGCAAACATGTTGGGTTTATTTGTATGTTCATCCACAGAGTTCAACAAGCTGTATGTCAATGTACAGCAAACCGTCATGTTAGGTTTATAGGACGACCATCTTTTGTTTTTATTTCTACTCCACTACAATGCATTGTGTTTCTTGGTCACATTGTTTTTTTATTTTTAAAGGTAACACAAGGGAAATTGGTCCACTGATCCAACATGTGCAGCAGCAGCAGCATCACTGATGAAGAAACACGTGAAATATGTTGAGAAGATCCAATGCTGAGACTCAGCCATAAGGATGAAGCAGACTGTTGCATTAGGGCTACAAGTACTTTTACTTTTAAGACTTTATTAGAATTCAAAGCAATGTTAATGTGATGCTTTCACTTGAGTACATTATTGTCTATTTATTGGTAAAATGATTGAGTTCTTACTTCACCACTGAATTTTCCAAATCTAAGTGAAATGACCAGTCACATGGTTGATTTATCAGACTTTTATTTTCTGTCTGAACAAATTTGTCATTTTAATCTTCCAAGTCCAACTCGTGTGACGTGAATCCACACATCTGGTCTCATGTGCTGCGCCCAGGGAGCAAGAAGCATCTCCTTTGTTGTGTGGAACATGGTGGGTATCAGTGCCACAATATGTCATCTCTGTCTCTTAACTGGGTCTCCCTTCGCTGCATCTCCGGTGCTCCGCTTGAGGAATCAGGGTAGCACAGCTCCCCAGAGAAACCGCTTCAACTTCTGGAGGCCGTCCACAAGTAGGGCACCCAACTCAAGTTTAACCAGGAGGCCGTTCCTGAGAATCAACAGCACGTGGCGTCAGGTAAAGTCGCAGGTTAGTGGTGGAAAAGGGGGGACAGGGTGTAGCAGGTGGATTTGGTTAAGCCACCAGTTCAAACAAATCAACTTTCTGCGGGGTTGAAAGATGGCTAATGACAGAGGAAAGAGAAAAAGTTCTGATAACTCAAATCAGTTTTCCTCTAATCTTTGATTTTTGTCAAGATATCAGATTATTTGAACATTAAATGAAACTAAACCATGTGAGAAATTTAAATTGAATGCATCAGAAACCACTGGTTTAATCTTTAACAATGTGAAGTATTGTTATATCATTGTGCAAAATATTCATCTGAAAAGCAACCAACTAAAGCAGTCAAATAAAAGTAGTGGAGTAGACAGTACAATATTTCCCACTGAAATGCAGTGGAGTACAAGTACATCAAAACTATCCTTATGTACAAATATTTTGTAGCTGGTTTAGCTGTTTACTGTTTAGCAAAATAAATAATATTGTCATTTTATTACTACATTTTAACATCTTTACATGGTGCTGGGTGTATTTTAAATAATAACTATATCATCCCTATAAAACAGTGGGAATAGTAACAGAAAGTATAGTACTTTATATTGACAGGATATATAAATTACACACACACACACACACACACACACACACACACACACACACAGTAAACATCTGGATGAGCAGCAGCATTAGTGTGTGTTGTGCTACTGTGTCTTTAAATCTCCCTTCCAGTCCGTTGCCCCGGTAACCCGGAAGCGCCACAAGCTCGTGCGGCTACGCGCGGCTCCGAGTGCTTCCTGTTGTAGCAAACCTCCAGGAAGCTGAAGCGTGTGGACACTCGCGTTTGTACCGATGGTGCGTGAGTCGAGCGAATAGCGTGCGTGAGTCTCCTGTACACAGCTGCTGCTCCTCTGCGAGCGTCCCCGCGTCATTTCACTGAGGCTGCGGCTGCACGCAGAGCAGCTGCACACATGTCGGGGGGTCTGACAGTAAAATAAAGAGATGCTGTCTGCAGCAGAGAGTTCAACAACTATCACCACTTGTGCTGGGTTTGCGTCATGAACTCAGAGGCTGCACGTGTGCAAAAGTTGAACGAACACACGGTGCCACGGTGGGCAGCAGCAGTGTCAACAAACAGTTGTTGTGAAGTGTAAACGCGTTGTGTTATTGTTGTGGGACTCAGTTGATCCAGACAGACAGAAGCTTGTAGCATGAGCAGGACTTGTGGCTCTGCAGTCAGCAGCAAGCGTGTGTAAACTATGGCACGTGACCCAGTACTGTTGATATCGAGCTCTCACCTCGTGCTCTTGTTTTGTTTCCACCTGGGACAGGATGCAGCTCAGTGACCTCCAGCAGCTCAGGACTCATGCTCTCTCATCTTTGTGCTGCCTCACTTGTCCTGTTCTTACTGTGGACCGCCATGGCCCAGGTCGCCGGCCAGGAGGACAGAGAGAAAACTACTGCACTCAAAGGTGAATAGAGACGTTTGTTGTGACAATAAAAAGTTTGGTGGTGGTCATGAAAGAGTAGAAGAGAGGGAATACTGGTAGTGTAAAAGAAGCTCTACAAACTTTAACTGTGTTCAGAACATACATGGTCAGTTAAAGGTTCAGTGTGTAAGAAAGGGACCTGTTGGCAGAAAATGAACATAAAATAATCCTTGTGATGTTTTAACTTGTGTGTAATCGGCTAAATTGTAGTTTACTTTACTCTAGAATCAGCCCTTTATATTTAAATACTTTATATTTACATCAGGAGCGAGTCCGCTCTACAGATGCCACCATGTTTTTTTTACAGTACTCCAAACTGGACAAACTAAACACCCTTTTGAAGTCTCATGGGTAAACAGCGTTGCAGCCAAATCCAGTACAATTGAACTAACTGGTGACCGATTCTTCAGAAACAACAGAGAAAACACAACATTTCTCCATACTGCTCCTGTGGTGATCAAGTGTCCGGAAGCTCCGATATTCACATTCGACTCAAAATGTTGCCCATGTTTTTATCCTTAATGTCCGCCACCGGAACTAGTAATGCTACCGGAACTATGCTACCAGAACTGGCTATGCTACCGTGCACCCTTGTGACAAAGATTTGTGTGTGTGAACGCGGCTCCAAGGAGGATATCAGAGGACATTTAGGCTAAAAACATGGTGTAAATTAAAAAACTTTTCAAGTTGAATATGAATGTCTGGGCTAACAGACACTTGGGTGACACAAACAAAACCTCCTTGGCTGAGACAATTAATGTGTCTGTAGTCACAGGAATAAATGCTTGAATAAATGCAGCAGGAAAACTGATTTTGTCTCATATTGTTATCAGGGAATGTCTATTTCCTCTTATTCCGGGTAGAGAATGTATGCCTTTAAAAATCCAATACTATTTAAAAAATTGTCCCATCAACTGGAAGCTTCACCTACCACTTCATATTTAAACTTTCAGCTGGCTCTCAGAGTAGATAACACAAGATGGGAAATGTCCCACTTAACCTTGAGTCAAATTTATTCACCCACCCTTTAGCACACCAATATGTGTAATTTGTTCCCCCCCAGGTTTCTTTCTGCCTCAGTGATAGAATTTGCAGAAAAAATGTCAATAGACATTTTTGGTTAGTATTTGAATATCCTCTTTCCTCCCACTTTTTTTCTGCCACTTGAGGATGATGAAGTGCTCTTGGTTTGAGGAGGGAAGCATAGCATTTGCTTTGTTGCTTCATAACTTCACAAAATGGGAAGACATGATCAAATGTAGTTGATTTTCCCTGGATCTTATTATGATATAATGTGATTGAAATTATGATTTGAAAATTGGATGTTGACTTTGTTCGAACAAAGTGAACTTCACAAATTCGTCTCACCTTTTTTCTTTTCTCTCTCTCTCCTCAGATTTGCTGTCGAGAATAGACTTGGATGAACTGATGAAGAAAGATGAACCTCCGTTCACTTTCCCCAAAACACTGGAGGAGTTTGAATACACCTTCAGTGAGCGTAAGTTCATTTGTTAGTCAGAAGCCACAAGTCTCTGAGTGAGTTCCATGGCATGCACACGCAGCTTCAGCTTTAATAGATAAAATATCTGATGATGTCTAAGTGATGAGAATGACACTGATGGTCATGGTGAAGTATTTTAGCTCAGGTAAACATGAGGTTAAATCCTTGGCTCTGGATTTGAGCTGAAACCACATGAGGTCTGGATATAAACTGGAGGAAACATGGCTGAGTCCTCTCTCTGTCCTGTCGTTTATAGCAGTTGTTCCCAATTCATTTGGCTTTTGAGTCGCGAGCCCTTGAATTGAAACAGTGTCAGCTTTCAACCCTCTGTCACAAACTGAAATGATTCACCTTCGAGTGATATTCCCCATGAAACGTATTGCATTGTTTCATTTGAATCCTTGTCTGTCTAAAATGTCTTATTTATATTATAATATTTTCCCTCTCTTTAGTATTCTACCTTCTATGATGTTGTGATCCTTCAGATTAATCTGGTGCTGAACCCCACATTAGGAACTGCTGCTCTGTAGACTTAGATCCTGCCTCTGTAGAAAATGTCGGGACGGCGAGGGTCGTCCACAAACCAGGACATCTGTGGTTCAATACCAGGCTCCTCCTGTCCATAAGTGTCCCTGGCAAGAAACTGAACATTGCCTCTGACATCTGTGCCGACAGTGTGTGAATGTGACTTGTACTCAAATGCTCTTGGTCGTTGATAAGTTGGCATAAAAACAGTCCATTTACAATTTAAAATTAAAATACTACTTTACTTTTGTGTGTGTAACTGCAGCTCTGTTTAGTGCTTTTAAAATAATAACCCAAAACTGTGTCTGTAGTAGCGTGGGATATTTTGGGGGGGGGGGTTACAGGTGTGGGTGGGTGTGCTGAACCCACAGTGGTCTGGGTCCAGATGATCCAAAAGTCTCTTTGGGTTTCTTTTGGCTTAATCTCACCAGGTGGAGGAAGGAGGAAGAGTTGGAAAGGCGGCTGCTGCTGCTGCTGCTGCTGCTGCTGGTGGAGGTTTATTTGGCTCTTAGCATTCCCCTGTAGTCTCTCTCCCCCCCTCTGTTCTCTGTCAGTGTCTCTGCTGGCTGTCTGCCTGGCTGAGTGGGGGGACATGTTGTGTACTCTACGGCCCGTCAGTAACCTACTCAGCCTTGCCCTCCGCCTGACGGAGCATTTGCATAACCTCGCTGTGCCTAAGAACAGAGACACGCACACTCACCCCCCCATTCACCCACCACCACCAGCAGCAGCCACCGTGCCAACACCCACCACCCCCTCTACCGCAGCCTCAAGTCCCAGCTCCCACAGAGGAAGACTGAGCTCCCATCGCCTCACCCTTTCATCTCACCCCTTCCCTTTTCTCCCACCTCTCTCTGCATCTCTCTATTTCTGCCCCTTCCCTGCTCAAAAGCCCAAACACAGCCTTACCCACCCACCCACACACACTTGGATATACACACTTTAGCCCATCCATATGTCAGTTTCCACTCAGGCCTGTTTTTGAAGGATAGCATTTCTATTAAAGCCACGGTGGCCCTCAGGCAGGGTCTCCGGTGTGTCGGCTCTCAGTTGCTCTGACTCGCAGGCATTTCTGTAGCTACGCTCGGGCTACCTTCGCCCGAGACAGGTGGAACAAAAATGTTAATTTGACCATGTAATGATGTGAATACAGACGAGTCTGTGTACAATAGTTTGCAGGTATCTTAATCACTGAAGATGATGGCTTCATCTCGCCAGCCCTCCGGTTTTCCATTACTGGAAATCCAAGGTTATGTACACCTAATTAAGCGGCCAAATTGAGAACAGAATGCTAATTATGACAGAAAAAGAGGAGAAAAGTTGAGAAAACGTTATTCCTCTGAGAGGATGTGTTGGGGGAGGTAATGGAGCCCACACGCACACACATACACACGCATACACAGACACACACACCCCACACACTCTTTCTCTCCCTCCCTCACACGCACAGACACACACACCCCTCTCCTACTGTAGGATTTCATTACAGCTCCTCTCTTCCTTCTCTTAGGCAGTAGTGTTTAGATCCTCACCCCTCCACGAATGCATAATTGATTTTCTTCAAGGTACTTTTTGTGCGCGCTGCTTTATCCCAACTTCCCGCTCGTCTCCTGCTCTACCTCTCAGGCACAAGTCGACTTTTTTTTTTTTTTTTAAATGGAACACAAAGTCAAACCTGCACTCGGAATTACATGTTGTATAACAACAAGCAGTGAAAACGAATGCTTTAGTACACAGTCTGTTAGCAACCTGAGATTTATCACATTGATAGAGGGGTGAAAGTGGTGGCAATTTAGAAAGAGATGAAAAAAAGTGCTCATGCATTCTTTTATCTTGCGAAGATATTAAATTTATTTATATCTTTGATGGGTTTTTCTCACATTGTGCGATAATTGAGAAAGTATGAGAGCCCTCTGGCTATTTGGGTTAAATATGTGTACTCTTCAGTGGTACAGCTCTTACAGATTCTGCAGTCATAAAGGTCAAAATTAAATTTAACAGTGTTTAGTGTTTTATTGTGTTGTAGTGTCAAGCGCAGGATCGATGGGCTCATTGCTAAGGTATAAACACACTGGCTCCACAAGCCACAGCCACACAAGGGTAATTGTTTATTAAGAAAAAGAGTGGTACCATTTCTAAGCAGCGTTTTCTTGTCTTATGACTGTTTCATATGACAAAAAACCTAGATGTGTTAAGAGCTCTTGTGGTTACCTTGAGTTGTAATAAATCACTTAAACATGATCGTTGTAATAACAGTGTGGCTCGGTTGTGACAATTTAGAGAAGCCTGTGACACGTTCCTGTATGTCCACATCTGGTGCTACTGGTTTGTTTGGGTGTGTGAACTGTGCTTGTTAGAGTGACTGGCCAATGCCCAGCAATTGCAAGGAGCAGTTGCTGTCGTGGGGCTAATGTGTGCCAGCCCACCTTTCTCTCTCTTCGTGCTCTTTCTCTCTCTCTTTCACACACACACACACACACACACACACACACACACACACACACACACACACACACACTCATGCTCTGCTCCTTTAGCTCTCTCTTGGAGATTTTGGGACGGAAAGGAAAGGGACAGAGCTGTGGCCCGTCGCCAGAGTTAGCGAGGAAGAAGAGGGAGAAAGAAATGGACAGAGTTAAATGGGAAGGGAAGAGGCTTTTAGATGGATGAAATTCGGGAGAGAGAATTTTTGCCATACCAGCTGTCCAGCCCCAGCCTGCCAGACTACCCAGAAGGCCGTTGGAGTCGTGACTGGAAGAATGCTGCTTCATCCACAGGCCTTGCACCTGCTATAAAGGGGGGTTGGGGGGGGGGGGGATAGAAAGTGCGACAGACGAGAAGAAAGAGAGATTAAAAATTTACAAAAATGTTGAGGTTAGTGTAGTAGTGCACATGTAGTCAGAAGGAGTTACCTGCCCAACATTTCAAAATACTTCCACACACACATATATATATATATATATAAATATAAGGTGTATATATACAGGTATTAATTGTCATTACAATTTGTGTCCCACAGATGGTCAGCTCAGACATATAAAAACAGGAGAACCCTTTGTGTTCAATGCCAGAGAGGATCTTCACCGCTGGAACCAGAAACGCTACGAAGCTCTTGGAGAGGTAACAAACTCCTCATATTGTTTTTAACGCATACTTCTGATTATCCATCTTCAGCAACTGTGGCCTCAGCTACAGGGTCTTTTTGGATTTTCTGTCCAAATAGTTTTTGTAACATGACATTACAAGAGGCAGTTATTGTTGATTAGTATTCGAGCAACATGGCATAGAAACCCTCTTCATTCATCTGCTTTGTTTAATGGGTGCAAGGCTGAATGGATTTTTGGCATTCACATTTATTGTGGCATTTGAACTGATCAGTTTCTTTTCAAGTCTTATTTAGTTTTTGATTATCCAAGGTTAGGTGAGTTAGAAACCCCAAAGAAGAAAAATGAACTCAGTTCTCCGACATTTTAAAAGTTCATCTTTTTTTCTCATTTGAGTGTCAATTCACAACCAAGGTCAAGCCTCTGTAGCTGAAGAGAAAATCAAGTATTTCAAGTTAAAATGTGAGTTTTTGATTTGTTTAAAGATGTTACATTTGGGTAGACTGACTGCAATGGACTCCAGCTCTTTTTCAAACACAATGTGGTAAATTGCCACACCCTGTGCACAGTACAATTCATGTGTAAAAGGGGCTGTGGAGCTTTTGCACATGTTTTCATTTCAAACTGGATGATTTGCCTTGTAACCTTCTTTTAAACTCCTTAAATACCAGTAGCCTCAGACTGGCCTCTGCTGAGGTGTATCTTGTGGTCCAGGCTTCTGTCAGATTAGAATGAGGGAAGGCTTACGAGTATTTTAAAAGTCACGGTCCACTGATGCTGGTGAGCACAGTCCTAATCATCTGCCTATCAGCTTAGTCAGGGTATGAGTTGAGTTTGAGGTCAAATTTAACTCATAGCTTCAGTTACATTTTCAGATGTGAAATCTGAATATGACAGTCACACATCCACAGATTCTGACCAAGAGTCTGAATCAGAAGTTTGCTCACTGATTTCCCAAATCGATTCGATTCCGATTCAAAAGGCTTCGATTCGATTGGATTTGATTCAATATTGATTCAGTTCAGGATATTTTTTTGTACTATACCAATTCTGCCTGGATATGAAAGAAATTCTCAGAGAACTAAGGCTGTGAACTGAACAAGGAAACCTCCAACTTGGTGCATAATAAAAATATGAAGGTAGGCCCTTCATAAAAACACATTTTGTTGGACAATATTTTTTCCCAGCAATTATCGCAGTAGATGATATTATTGTAATCGTTGTGAAACCATTTTAAACCACTGATATAATGATAATATTACCACATAACCATGCAAGAGCAATGAGCTTAATTCTACAGAACATTCAGTCGGACATTTGAATTAGAATGATTAAAATATCTTAAATACATAAAACATAAATAAAATAAACCACACAATTAAAACAATAAATAAAATGGATTCTCTGACTTTGTCAACAGATGCTCTTGAATAAATATTAAACATTTGACAAAGGATATATGTTTCCAGCTCAGTTAACAGGATGCTTATGATTTAGATGAGCTTTTAGTTTTGTATTAAATAAGGTTAGTATTCAAGTGAACTTCAGTACTGTTCAGGTCTTAATAACTTCTGATGAGTATTGTTGTTCTTTGTTAAAGAGTAAAGTGAGCACAGGTCAGTGGGAATGTTGAGGGAGGACACACCCAGACAGGATACTTGGTACGAACCAACCACTGCTTTGGCTCTGATCCTGAAGCTGCAACATTTACAACCTCGCTCACCGCCTCTCCTCTCTCACCACTGCTTCACTGTCCGTGTGTTACTGTGTGAGTGAGTGTAAACTGTGCAGAGATGAGATGAGGGAGGGACACGACTCGATCAAATACAGAGGCACATCAGCTAAATGTTTGGTCGTATGTGCGATCAAAATGATCACACTCTGAGACTGTCTCTGGAGTTTATCTTTTACTTATGAACAACACAGCAGGAGATTTGCAAGTCAGACGTGTTCACAACAACAACAGAAATCTCCAGGGCATTCAGGCGAAGAATGGCACAGGAGGCAGGAAGTAACGTATAAATTCTGCTGTGGAAATCACATGATGTTTTCAGCACATCAACACGAGCGTCAGCTCTCACATCTTGTTGTCTTTCCAAGTTGACATCTTCGTCTGTGTCTTCTATTTTTATGGAACCTATTTTTCCTCCTGCGATATTTGCATACTTTTTTCACATTTTTGCATCTGTTGCGTGTTAGAAACGTCATCAACACGCCCACTAGCTCGCGGTGAATCCTCCACAGAATCTCCTGCTGTTTTCTCACATGGGCTCATTCAGACATTATCTGGAGTTTTTACCAGGGGGCTGGCAGGAGAAACTCTGGAGCAATTGAATACATAGTGAAAGCAGCTTTAGAGACTTTACAATTGCTGCTGCACGAGTGGTGTGAATGGAATTTGACTGCGGATGAACTGATGACCTGCACTGTTTTGTTTAGTGTTTACACATGAAGCGCATGGTGAGAAAAATATGGACTCTAAAAGCTGCTTTTGGATTTTTATTTCAAGGATTCAATGCAACCTCATGAAGTTTTGTGGCTTTTCAACTACATCACCATGCATACAACTATACACCATGGTAGAGTTCACCTCTACTTCACTCCCACAGTACCACCGCATGCAATATGCATTAAGATAATGAGACAAATGTTCTTTTGTAATCTGTTTTTTTAGTTGCATCCCCCGCTATGTTGCTTTTAATTGTTGTTCGCATTCTTTGAAGTTCAAAGCCAAGTGATAGACCCGTTTGTGGGATTACCTGGGTGTTTTTATTATTTCTAATGCAGGTATACAGTCGCTCCTTTGAGAACCTGCCTTCTGTGAAGCCCCCCCTCTTTTGCCTGCTCAGGCACTATCTACCAACATCTAAAAAGGCTGTAGAAACAAACATTTGGTAGCATGAAAACAGAGGCCCTGAAAGAACACACAGACATTTAAACCAACTGAACTCAGACATCCGAGGGGGGCCAAACATTTGGAGAAAACAAATAATCATCAAGCGGGATGTATGCAAATTTTATTCATCCTGTGATTAAAAAATTGACAGAAGCATCTTCTTTAGAGAGGAAAAAAGGAAACGGTGTCATCAAGTGTTGATGTGCGCTCATGTAACGAGAACAGATCCTCTGTGTTGTGCTGAAGGAGATTAACTGGCCGAGAAGAGAGGAACACTACCTGAATAAGCAGTATTATCTGTCTGTTGTTTTTAGGCCACAGATGATTCAAGAAAATGAATACTGTACCGCTCTCATACAGCTTTGTGAGAACAGATGCATTGTTTTTTCCTGGTAAGAAATATGCTCCATTATAAATAGACACAGCTACTGAATTGTATGCCATTGGTTGTAAAATTAGGTTATACTGCTTAGTCAGCTTCTATATGTGCGAGTTTAAGAGTGTGTGTCACACAGGCATACCTGCGTGATTATTTCTGCATCCGTCCTGCCAACAAACGTGGATCTATTTGCGCTTTCATTTCTTCCTGAATGCTGTTGTTTGTGTCTCGCCTGTTCTCCCATCCCTCTGATTCATTTCTGCATCAGGCGAGAAGAGAGACTGTGTCAGACGTCACAAGGCTAAAGTTAAAATAAGCTTCTATGCAAACAGGCCTGTTATGGGCCACCACCGCTCCACCACACACCCCAGTGCCCTCTATCAACCTGCCCCCTGAGACGCTCTGTGAACCGGACACGACTCAGTGGCAGAGCTGTGAGGGATGGCACAAGGACGTGGGTGCATGTGTTTGCCCCTGGCAGTGTGTGAATAGAGTGGCATCATCATTGCCCCCTAATGTTCACTCACATACCGTCCTCGCCCCCAGCCCTCCCTCCATACCTCTGTCCATCTCTCCCTCCTCCTGTCTTCTTCTCAGTGTCTTTATATCCTCATGGTCCTGTATTTTGTGTGGAGGACTCGGTGTGTGTGTGTGTGTGTTTGTGTGTGCGCGCACATTTGTGTGTCTCGGTACATGTGTGAGGGGGGTGGGGGGGTGGCGGCTGTATTGTCAGACACATCACAGCACCAGATGTCCAATTTGCACTTCAGCTTCGTCTGAATGGAGGGACAGATACAAAGAGGGAGAACGAGGATGTTGGTGTGATGGCCTCCAAAGCAAAAGAAAGAGATGGGAACAAAATTTGGGTTGAGCACAAGAGCAGTGAATCATTTTCCACTCATCATCTTGATCGATAAAAAATAATTCAAAAATGTTCTCCTAGATTTATGTCACGTTGCGGAGGTTTGCAGATGCTATTTCCAAGATGCTCTGCTGGGTCCCTGTGCTTGGAGATTATTGGCCATATTTATGTCCATAAAAAAGTGCCTGTAGTTCAATACCTGGAAAAAACATTAGTTATAAACTTATACCACAGCACAAAGTACGTGCAAGTCACTGAGAGAGTGTGTTTAATGGTGCACATATTGCACTTTACATAAACATAGTAACTGCTAAAGCTAATGTCTTTAAATGAAAAGATTAAAAAAAATAATTAAGGGCACTAGAAGGTTAGATACATCAACTAACACCTATTCTGTTTGGTGTTGTACAAAATAATTATTTGAAATGTAGAACATCTCTTATTGAAGATGTTCACAATGCAGATTAAAAAAGAGAATAGAACAGATTAAAGTAAAAGAGTAAACTAAAATGGCACTTAGAAGAGTGCACACCTCAACTATAATCCATATTATGTCTGACTCTTTACATCAAGAAAATTGTCAATTAAATTATCTAATAATAATAATGAAAATCACAAAATCCTGAAACACCCCCTTTAACTGGAACCTCCTTGAAATTGAATGGGTTATTTTCTGGTCCACCGCCCATTTCTTCACCAAATTGCTGCAAACTCGATCTGTAATTTCATATCCATCTTAAAAATAAACAACAAGACAAACCATAACCTCCTTGACTGATTGGCTCAGTGTAAACATATAGGACCAGAACCATATGCTCTGCTATGAGCATCATTGAAAGGTCCTCAGGGAGTACCTAATTATTGTTGGAATACAGTTAT